GAATTTCTTGACCTACCTTAGTGAAAACAGTACAAACTAGAAACAACTAGTGCTGCTAGCCAGTCATCCCTAATTAGAAGATCTGCAGAGTACACATTTCTCTTCCTTTCCCTAGTGCATTAAGTAGAAGTTTGAACTCCAACTTCCCTCCCAAAAGAAATGCCTACAAGTTATTCTGAATGTACAAGGTGATCCTACCACCTTCAAGAGCTAGCAATGGCCTTCAGGCTAAGAAGCTCCTGAGCATAGCATGTAAGGTCAAATAGAACTTACCTGGATCTGGAAACTGCACCTTACTCATTTCTTGGGCAATGCTTTCTGTTCTCAACATGCAATGCCAAACTATGTAATGCCTCTGTGCACAAAGGCCCACTACCATTGTGGGGGCTCAGAGTTCAAGTTCAATATTCCTCCCCCCATACCCCTCCACTTTCCATGTTAGACCATAAAGCCTGAGATCTTGTTCACTAGCAGCAATTTCTTGCCACTGCCCAACTGATGAAAAAGAAGAAAAAGAGCTCCTCAGCCAACGCAGGACCTTCCTTCTAGTGTACACCTGAATTCTGTAAGGCCCAAGTCTCCAGGAAACTGTCAGGCCTAAATCTACCATATTTCTAATTTTACTGGTCTACTTCTAATTTTATTGGCCATAATTATCCTGTAGCGTGCTAGAGCTAGCTCATTTGAGCTGACTGGGCCCACCTCTCCCAACTCTGTGTTCAGCGACTTCATGTTGGAAGCTTGATATTGATTGGTCACAGTGGTAGTACTTATGCCATTGAAAATGGCAAAATTTACAACTCAAGGCTTGTTATTGTTTTGTTTTCTGGGGGGAAAACCCAGTTGTTCAACATATACTACACTAAACGTCTATCCCTATAATCAACTATACTTTCTCTCCTATGAGACCTAACCTCCTTTTTTCTCCCCAAAATTCCGTTAAATTGTCTAGAATTTCTACTCCATGATCAAAAAGTCACCTATGTGCTCAGTCATTTCTCATTTTATTCCATATACCTCCTGCGGGACAAGCTAAACAATTTGCAGGATATGGTACAAAATGAAAATGTGGGGGTCCCTTGTTCAAAAATTATTGAGAATTTAAAGACAACGACAGCAGGGCATTAAACCAAGAACAGAGCCTTTTTCTAAGTGTGGAGACTTATACAACTGCACAGGTCACATGCCCATAAACTAGTCCCTGACCCCTCTTCTTAACAGTAAGCCTGCCCTCCCTGAGGACGTCGTTTCCCAGGTATCTCGGCAACATGATGACTTATTCTCCCATACCTGAGGACTGAAGGTGAGTTGCTCTTTTATTTGCTCCCCTTCCCAATGCTCTTTGCAAACCATTACTCTCCTACTTTCTTTGTAAAAATTTCTTCTCCTTTGTCATCTTGCTGCACTACGCTTCCACTCTCATCATAGCTGTCATCTTCCAACTTACTCATTACTCCTCCTACTTTACTGATGGCTTTGACACCCGGCTCTCAAAATTCCTCTTCACCCCAAGTCCTTGCCTAAAGAGTTAAGAAGACAGACTCTGGATAGAATCAGACTGCCTGGGTTTCAGTCTTAGTACTACCATATACTAGCTTTGTTGCCTTGGCCACGTTCCTTAACCTTTCTTTTCCCAAGTTTCCTTGTTTATAAAATAGAGATTACTTCATAGGATTTGTTGTATGGATTAAAAGAGTTAATGCAAGTAAAGGGTTCAGAATGGTACCGGCACATGGTAAGTGCTCATTCAATAAACATCAGCTATTGCTGCAATCATCATATTAAAGTCTATCTCAATGTCAACATGTATAACTCATTTAACATGTTCTTTGAGCTCCTTGTCGCCAATAAATTTCTTCTCCATTCAACCCCAGCAACCCTCTTCTATAGCTACACCCTCGATCCTATAATCACCAGAACTTCTCCACCTCCAAAACCATAATTCAACTATCCTACTCCCTGATTACTACCTCCTGTCCTTCCAGGACTCACAATATCTGCTTCCCATCATCAAAACCTCTGAATGCCAGACTCCTCTATCGCATCACTGTCAGCCCCTCCTGTCTTTGCCTCTTTTGCAATCTTTTTTTTTTAAATTAAATTTACTGGGGTGACATTGGTTAATAAAACTATATAGGTTTCAAGTGTACAATTCAATAAGAGGTCATCTGGATACTGCACTGTGTGTTCACCACCGAAAGTTAAATTTCCTTCCGTCACCATATATTTGACCCCCTTTACCCTTATCTACCTCTCCTCTTTTCCTATCTTCTAATACTCTCTCTTTCATCCACTCTCTTGACGACAACCTTGATTTCCATGCTCCAATTTCCTTCTATACAAGACTGGCAAAGTTCCAGTCTTGGATGAATCAAACTGTCAGCCTTTTCTTGACAAGGATGCTGAGAGCTACTGAAGAGAGTCATACAACTATAAAGGTCAGCACCACTCTGATAAATTCATGGTCTCCAACTTCAATGCTGCCCAGCAATCCTTCTATTTCCTTACCTAGTCTGCCATCTTCTACTCTTCACAATGGCTATTTCAGACCTTTACCACTCTCTCTAAACCTCTGATTGTCCTGCCCCTACTCACTTATCCCCACTCCACCAACCTCTGCTTCTGCTCTCAGAACTATCTCACATCAGGAAAAAAACAGGAACAAGATGAGAACTATCACAATTTCCTTCTACCGAACCTAAAAACCCACCTTAGTTGAACCTATATCCACCCGTTTCTTCCTTCCTATCACAGTGAAGGAGATCTCTCTCCTCTTGCTTAAGGCTAGTCTTGTGCTCTGTGATCTGGATTCTAACCCACTTGCCCTACCAGTCAATGAGTCTCGAAGTGTGGTTCCCACACCAGCAGCATCGGCACTCTTCAGGACCTTGTCACAAATGCAAATTCTCAGGCCCCGCTCTAGACCTACTAAATTGGAAACTGTGGAGTTGGGGCCTGGCAATCTGTTTTTAATAACACCTCCAGGTGATTCTGACACCTGCTAAAGGTTGAGAACTAAGGGATTATTTGTTGTTTAGCCCCTTTCCCGTACCTTCAGCTTCCTTCTCTAGTGCAACGGTTTCCTTGCCTAAAGAGCCTCCTATTTGATTTCTTCATGTACATTCTTGCCCTTCTCCAGTCTATTTATTACACATCAACACGTCTGATCATATCGTTCCCTGATTTAGATAAAGACCAATATTTTAAGAAGGCCTCAATCTTCCTCTTTTAAGCCCCTCAGCCTCTTTTTTCCCCACTAGTTCTCTTGCTGTTTGGCAAATAAAACTAACTTCTCTCAACCTCTTTCTTGATCTTACCATGTTCTAGGGCACCTAACGAACTTTGAAACTGTTATTCCCTATTCTTGAAATACTCTCAGTCTGTTTCTCTCCCTAACTCCTCCTTCTACATCAAACTTACACTTTGCTTCCTTAGGGTAGCCCACCCTTACTCTTTAGTCTTGATTAAGTCCCTGCTAGATGCTCTCACGGCACTCTGCACTAATCCTCTCATAACCTGCATCAAACTTGTAATTATTTACTTATTACTGGCTAATGCTACTTATATAAATGTAATATCTGTTTTCCTTCCTACAGTGTAAGGTCTGTTAGAGCAGAAATCATGTTCATGTTATTTACCATAAGTTCCCAGTGCCTTTTTTAGTAGAGTACCTTGCATATAATAAATTTGCTAACTGAGCCTTTGCATACACTGTGTCTCTATCCAGAATATTTTTACTACCTTTAATCCCTTAGCGAAATCCTACAGATACTTCAAGAATAAGTTAAATATCTCTGTCAAGTCACACCACATACACACCACCTGACTGCTCAAGTGGATCACTTCCTCTTTTGTGTTCCTACTGTATTGTGTACATAAATCTACTTATGCAATTATTATACACTGTTGTAAATACCTATCTTCACTTCTGAGTCTCCACTAGCCTGTAAACTCTCTGAAGGCATGTCTTGTTTACCTTTGCATCTCGAATGCTTAGAAAAGTACCTGACATTGATAATAAGTGTCCACAAGTGTTTATGGACTTATTTAGCCTAAGACTATATCTCTAATGTTGCGCTGAAAGGTTTTCTCTTAATATTAAATCTGAGTTCCAATTCTAGGTTTGCTGTTCATTAGTTGCACGATCAAACTGTTTAACCTTTTTGGGTTTCCTCATCAGTAAAACAGGGCTAATAACACTTTACTTGGAAATATTGCTATGAAAATTAAACGAAATGACATAGTACAATGATTAGCACATACAGTGCTTGGCATGCAGAAGCCTCATTCTGGCTTCAACTTGATAGAGAAAACTAGGACAAAACAAATACAAAAATAAGTCACAGCAATCAAGGGAGACAGAGCATAGAGTTGAGTCATTCCTTTTAATCATTGCCTAGGAAGATCAACAGTGAAGAAACATAATAAGTGGGATAAACTCTACTGGTGGTATCTCCCTTGGCATACAAAGCTTGGTGAGAATTCACCCGAGACCTCTTGGCTAATGGCCACATCTGGCTCCCCAGCTCAGCAGGCCAGGTCTTAATCTGCGGTACCAGGCATGGTTACTTCCGACTGGAATAGAAACTACCTCATAAGGAATGTGTTTAGAGGCAGAAGAAGGGCAAGGAGAACTTGACTGCAACCACATCAATCAAGTGTTTTGCAATCTGGCAGAAAACATTGCAGAATTGTTGGTGGAGACTGACACCCACACAGCAGCACTCACCTGTAGCCAAGAAACAGTTTAGACTAGATAATGAGCAGCTTTCTGCTTTTACCAAAACAATGGTCACACTTGCATGGAGTGAACATCATTTCTAAGGTCAAATTACCTTTGTTCATCTGGGCAGCACCCACGAAGATGACACCAAGCAGTTTTATACATACACTCCTCAGCCCAGGAGCGCTGCCCACAAACACCAGCTTCACTGCTCATGTGTGCCAAAAATAAAAGCAGATTTAACAGATTCTCTGCTCCTTATTCATAACATGCTTACCTCTTCAGAGCCATTGATATTCTGATCACCTAGTTCCTTGGAGTCATTCACGTCAGAATGCTGTGTCACTACAGGTGTAATTTCTTCACTAGGACTCTCTCTCTTCCGAAGCTTCCTGAGTAAGTTCTGCTGGTCACTGGAAGATACAGTAGGCCTGAGTGGAGCTCTAGGAGGGCTCTGCCTCCTCCAAGATGCCCTGCTCCAATCTAGTCCCAGAATATGTGGTACACCATCTTCAGGTGGAAAGCCCAAATCATCTGCAGTTTGGGATTTTTTTAAAAACACCAGCATGGAATTGGAAGAATCTGTCCTAAAAGGCTGGCAGCTCTGGGGCCTGCTGCAGTCTGCCTGAATGCACATCCCTTCTAACCACCAAAGGGCATGGCAGGCCGAATCCTGACAGCAGGCAGCCCAACATGACTGAAGAGAAGGGGTTCCTTCAAGAAGCCAGAGGTGATTTCCTCCCCCAGATCTCACGCCAACTCCAAATTGTGTCTTCACCTGCTGGCACCTGCTCTCACTGGCATCTAAAAACAAAGAATGAAAATATTTTAGGATGAAATAAAAACAGAGACTGCTGTTCTGCAAAGAGCCCTGAACGCCAACATTCGAGGCTATTTTGAAGACTGGTTTATAAGACAGTAGGAAAGCTGTCTAGCAAGTGGAACAGAAGAAGCAAAAGAGAGTGTTTTTCAGCTCAGGATATTTTAGCATATAGAAATACTACTCCATATTTATCACTGGTTCCCATCTCAATGAGTCCCTTCCACGTAGGCCTTTTACAAAGAACTGAGTTCATGAAACAGGAAAAAACATGAATAAAAAAAGCTACTCTGGTGGCAGTGTATGGAGGGATGGGGGTAGGGTGCAGAGTCCCACCATTTGATCTCCTACTCACCTCCACGGCGTTTCTCAGGGACAGTGTGAGGACTATGGGACCAGAAGGGCAGGTAGCTGAACAAGCTGGACTACTTCCCCCACTGAACTGGCAGGAACACAAACTGAGTACTCTTGCAGGTTACAGGTTCATCCATTTCCTAACCATTTGCCGAAGTTAAGTGGTTTTGCATATCACGGTATCGGCCAGAGTAATAGTCAAGCTTACCAAAAATTTTAATCAGGAGAGGGATTCTGCTAGATGAATAACGAGCCAGATCATGATAAGAAGTAAAGGAACAGAAGTACAACAGTGACCTACTGTGGTTAACCTAGATAACATGGCTCAAAATTCTGGCTAATGCTACTTATGGTTAAACTTTTGGGCTATTGATTTACTTCAGGTATGGCATCGATTTTCCTGAAATGTTACCTCACTTCTGTTTTCTTAGATGAAAGTCAAAGCATTTTCTAAATGAAAGTTGTTATTCAGAGTTTATTTTAAGGTCTTACTTATATAGATGTCTGTAACCACCATACATAGGGCCAGAACCAAGGTGAGCAAGAGAGGTGTCTCAGGCACAAAATTTAAGGAGGCTCTCATTCTCAGATGAAATGAAGGTGCAAGAAGTTTATGTAGGTGCAAGGTTGGCTCACCGGTCCTTGAGTGCCTCCTTAAATGTTGTACACTCAATTCCTCTTTCTTCACCCTAACTCTGGCCCTGTGGTTATAACATACAGTATATTTTAGAATTATATAGAGAAAATATGCAGTGGAATCAAAGCACTGAAGAGTTGGAATCATGTCTGCATGCACACATAACTGGAAAAGAGCTGTGACTAACTAAAGCAACAACCTGACGATCAGCCAAAGCCAACTTGACTCCCAAGAAATACTTACTAAATGACCAACGTACTAAATGTGGACACCAGTGAACTGAGAGATTAGAAAAAAATAATGGCAGGCTTCTGAATTATTGAGCTGAGCAAGCGCTAGGGAAGCCAATCTACCATTGTTCTTTAAAGATACACTGGTACCAACCTAACACCAGCCAAGGCAATTTAGAAGGCCAGAAATAAAGAGAACCCTCTTAAGATGAAGAAATGGCAAATAAAAAAAAAAAAAAAAGCTATGAAGAGATATAGAAAATACCCCTCACTTCCTCACCCATCTTCCCACATAGTAACCAATGGTATGAATCTTGGTATTAGCTATATGAGTGTACAGACTTTGTTGATATTAATAAAATGTTACATCAGTAACTACTGTCAGTTATCTTTATATCAACTTTCCATCATTCTTCTCAGAATAATTCTCTCATATTTAACATAGTGAAGAGTCCACATAGATAAAAATAACTTGCACTTTTCTGTAAGCCACTATATTTTACTTCACTTTAAAAAAAATGTACTGTGACCTCCACTTCTGCTCTTAAGGGAGAAATTGTCATAGGACTTGCCCTCCCACCATGAGCAGCTAGAAAACCAGACAAAATATATGAAACAACTGTTTTTAGACACTGAACAGGTAGTCCAGGACTGTGATCCCAGAGAAAAAGGAAACGAACAAAGTGAGCCCTGCGACCACCTTGGCTTTCTGCACAGAGGCAGCTCCAGACTGTGGCACAGGGAAGGAGACCCCAAGCAAACTCCTTGCTGAACTGAGGAAAGAGTTCAGGGCGACTGTGATAGCTAGAATTTTGGAACAAACTACCAGAAAAAAGGAAGCTATACAGAGAAAGAGCTCTAGACATCTGGATAATGGTCTCCTTCAGTCTTTGACTGACTACTAATTTCTGCCAACTGTAGGTTGAGACAGCATGAGGAAAATCAGAAAATATTTTGAACTAAATAAAAATTAAAACACAACTATCAAAATTTGTGGGGTGCAGTTAAAGCAATGTTTGGAGGAACATTCATTTATAAGTTTAAATGCTTGTTTTAGAAAAGAAGCCTAAAATCAATGATCTAGAGAGACATGGAGACCGGTATGTGATGACAGACACAAAGACTGGAGTGAATCAGCTGCACGCCATGGGATGCCGAGGACTGATAGTGACCACCAGTAGCTAGGAAGGGTCAAGGAAGTATCCTATCTAGAGTCTCAGATGACCAACCTTACCAACACCTTGGTTTGGGGCTTCTGGCCTTCAGAACTACTGGCTTATGCAGGATTCTCTGCCCTTGCCTGGGAGAACAGTTCAGGAGACAGACGCCTCCAAGACTACCAAGACCCTAGATCCAGGAATTACTGACATTTGGAGATCTGGCTATGTCCTTTACCCATATTGAATGGAGATGCCTGCATGTTATTCAGTGGACATGTATAGGAACATGCTGGAAAATTATGGGAATTTGGTGTCTGTGTGGATTCTCTCTTCCCAACCAAAATTAATTGCCCAAATGGAGTGAGGGGCACAGCCCTGTACAAAGCTGCAAGAAGTTTCATCAGGTCCCTATGCAGTGCTGAAGTACTGGCTTGAAGCAAAGCTGACAACCTTACAGCAAATATTTCTGAGAGATCTGCTCTGGAAGAGCGAACAAAAAGTGTCATGACTGATACAGGCCTGGACTGGGAGGACAGAAGCTCCACAGAGAAGAAGCGCTATAATGCAGGGAAATCTTCAAATATAATTCCCCCTTTATTAGCCATGAGAGAAATCATACTGGTGAGAAATCTAATAAATGTAAATGTGGGATAGCCTTTGTGAATAGCTCGTCTCTTTCAAATCATCATAAAATTCACATAAGCAAGCAACCTTATAGAGGTATTGAATGCAGAAAGTGTCTTAAGAAGCATGCAATAATTATTAATCATCACAGAATTCATTCTAGAAAGAAACTCCACAAATGCAATGGATGTGCAAAAGCTTTCAGAAAGAACAGTGTCCCTTTAAAAGTCATCAGAGAATTCATACTGGTCAGAAACTCTGCAAATGTAAAGACTGTAGGAAAGCCTTTACTCAGAAAGCAGCCCTGACTCATCATGAGAGAATACATAGTGGAGAAACACCTTTTAAATGTAATGAATGTGGGAAAGCTTTCAGAGGTAACTCGACTGTGCTGGAACATCAGAAAATCCATACTGATGAAAAACCATACTAGTTTAATGAATGTGGAAAAATCATTAGGAAGAAAGAGCGCAACTGATATCAACTGAATACATACAAGAAAGAAACCCTATCACCATAGTAAATGTGGAAAAACTTTCAGGTATATCTCTTTTGCTGGACATCAGAAAACTCATAGTGGAAGTAAACCTAATTGGTGTAATGACAATGGGAAAGCTCAATTCATATTAAACATCAGAGAGTTCATACTAGACAAAAACCCTATCATTGTAAGAAAGGTGAGAAACCCTTCAGGTACAGCTCAGACTTTGTTGAACATCACAAAATCCACACTGAAGAAAAACCTAATGAATGTAATTAATGTGGGAAGACTTTTCCACAAAGTTCAGCCCTTAAACAGTGTAAGAAAATTCATAACAAAGAAAAGGCCATCAATTGTAGTTAGCGTGGTAAATCATAGAGCAGTTAATCTTTATTCCTACTGGGCACTGAAGAGGAGATATTCAATAAATTATACAGTTATTAAAAATATACTTCTAACATGTGTACTTCTAACATGGAAAGCTCGCTTATGAGAATTTCATTATGGTATAGCTTGTACAGGTGAAATATTTGAAGAATCTATCAATATGGAAATAGTTACTAAAGAATACTATGTGCCATTAAAAACAATGAGGTAGAGTTCTGTATACAGCCATAGAAATAGATGATACCTTGTTAAGTTAAAAAAGCAAGTTACAGAAAACCTACATATTATGGTCTTATATTTTTTAAAATGAAGCTTTTTTGTTTGTACATATATATTACATGCATTAAAAAAGATCTGGAAAAATAAAAACCAAACTTTAACAGCAAAAAAAAAAAATGTTTTTTTATGCTTCCAACGTAAAAGCTATAAAGGGAAGAGTAAATTATACCTAAGATAAGTAAAGAAAGGAAAAGATAAAAATAACAATGAAACAGAAAACAATGAGAAAATCAACAAAACCAAAATCTCATTGTTTAATAAAACTGATAAAGCTCTAATCAGATTAATGACAAAAAAGAAAGAGAGAGAGAGAGAGAATAGTCATAAATTAACAATATCAAGAATGAAAGAGACATCACTCCTGATTCAGTAAACCAGAAGAGCAAATTATGGCTCAAGGGCCAACTCCAGATGCTGCCTATTATTATAAATAAATTTTTACTAGAATATAGTTACATTTATTTATTTATGTATTGTCTATGGTTGCTTTTCTATATGATGGCAGAGTTAAGTAGCTGCAACAGTTATCTTAAGACCTACAAAGCCTAAAATATCTTCTATCTGGCCCTTTAACGAAGTTTGCTAACCCTTGGCGTAAGAGAATGTACTTTTGTTTGACTTACTATTTACTATTGTGTAGAGCTTCAATTTAGCTGTTAACTCATGGAAGACTGATAAGTTGCAAATTATTTTGATTTTTAAAGAGATGCAAATTGTTTCTGTATGGTATAAAAGATAACCTCAAAGGTTTGATTAATAAGGCACCCTAGCTATTATCCTTATCTCCTTATTCATTCATCCATTCAATAAATATTACTGAGCATCTGTTTCA